CAATCATAGAAATATATTACCCACAATTTATCTACAAATCATCTACAAATTATTACTAAGACTGCAATTTAAATACAGTTAACTTATATTTTACCTACAATATGTAAACACTTTACATTAAAGTTATTTTTTTAATATCAGTTGTATTGTAGATAATAAATATTTAAGTTTAATTACACTCTATCAAAGACAAATTTAGATGCCTGATCTTTAAAAACAAATGTAGCATATTAAACAAACATAAACAAATTTTAGTCTACTTCATAATGATATTTAAAAACTTAAACTATTACACAAAAAATCTGCTAACTTTAACTCACTAATAGTTATTTTGAATAACTATTCTAACTACATGATATTCATTTCTTCTTGGGCGCATTCTTGCAAGATCTTTTGTTATGCCCTTCACCTCCACAATTTCCACATGACACCTTGTACTTCTTTGACTTTATTTCATCATAGGTTTTATATCTTTCCTTTTGAGGTCTCCCTGACTGTCTTTTATCTCCCGTCGGTGGTTTTACTACCTCATCCAAAATATGTTGTGGCACATTCCATTTGCTTTAATCAGGAAGAGGATTTACTAGCATTTCATACGTACGCAGAAGGCTCTCCCTTGTGTAATACGGAGAGAAATAGTTTTCATATGTTTCATTCCTGTGCCTTAATGCTGCCAAAGCATGCGCACATGGAAGTTCTTCAAGTTGGAATTGGCCACAGCTACATTTCTTGTTTTCTAGATACACAATGTATCGCTTCACACCATCTAACACAGTATGTATATGATCTGTTGAAGCCCTCACCTACAATTGCAGAACAAACAGAAAAAATATTATCTCAATCATAAAAATTTATTATCTACAACTTATATACAAATCATCTACAAATATTCTACACCTTATATACAATATACAATTATCTACAATTTGAATACAATTTATATACAATCTGGAAACACTGCATATTAAGTAATTCATTTTTTCTGCACCAAATAAACAGATCTTACCCTAAGCTTCTGAGATAATGTTCTGTTGTCATCTAATTCTTTGTTGAATTTGGCCCCAAGAAATGTGAAAGTACCCTTCGCGTTCAATAACTTCTCATTGGTCCAACATTCTAGCAGTGTCCGCATATACTCTAAAAGGTCAAATATCGACAGCTCTCTTGCATCTTTTGTTACTGCGTTCAACGACTCTGCAATATTTGATGTCATTGTTCACGTTCTATTCACTGTTGCATGTTCTCTTGACCATCTATGATAACCAATATCATATAAGTAAGATTTCACATGCGGGTCTACCTCTTCAATCTTCGACATCCTTTCATTAAATTCATCCAGAGTGTATGACCGTGCTGTAGCAAAGTACAATTCATGCAATTGTAGATGACCCTTCTTGAATTTTGACCTTATATTTGTCCAAATATGCCACATGCAAGAGTAGTGTGGGATAGACAATTGATGTTTCCTTCAGTATACTCTCATTCCTATCTGAAACAACACACATTGAAAGTCTTTCACCATATGCCTGCTTGAATTGCTCAAAGAACCACTTCCAAGATGCGTCGTTTTCAGAATCAACCACAGCATATGCCAAGGGCAATATTGTTCCTACATTATTAATTCATAAAATATTAATTGGCAGCTTTGAAAATTTATATAAAAATATAAATACATAACAACTACAATATATATTCATAATATATTCATTTTATCTACATTACATGTAATAGCTACAAAATAACTACAAATTACTACAATATATCTACATTTTATAGACTGCCTACAAAATGACTACAAAATTTTTACACTTTTTACCTGCTGCATCCATGGTGCTTGCTGTCAGCATAATCCCCCTGTAGACTGACTTTAAGAATGTCCCATCAACCACTACTACTGGCCTACAATGTTGCCAACCACTTATTGATGTACAAAGAGCAACAAATGCGTATAAGAAGCATTCATCTGCTGTCTTTTCCAATTTAACAACTGAACCAGGATAAGTCTCATTAAGAATATAAAAATATTTGGATAATTTGCTGTAGGAGTCAGCCGGATTCCCTCTCAGAAACTGTAAAGCCTTTTCCTTTGCTCTCCATGCTTGCATGTAGCTTAGGTTCACTCCGTGTTCGAATAACATGTCAGTCTGTATGTCCTTTGGTGTGTAAACAGTCTTAGGATCATAATATTTTGGAATTACCATGCTACCAACTACATATGCAGTACGTTTGCGCTGTATGAATGTTTCGTCCATTAGGGAGCATGTGTGTTGTCGGTTGAAACTCCTTATCTTGAACATTGCGGAATCATTAATTGACGTTGCCTTGAAGTGCCATTTACAGTTTTCACCAACGCATACAAGCCAGTAGCTACAAAAAAAATAAAATATTTAATACAGATTATAAATGTAAATGCAACAAATGGACTGTTTTAACATAAAGTAACATAAACTACAATGTAACTACAATTTATCTACAATGTTTACATTACACATATATTGAGTATAACACTGCTTTTATTGGTCTTTTCTCCACAAATATCTTCATACCTTCTACGACTAGATCTTTTAACTCTGAACTGGAACTTGTGCATCACAGAAAAGTGCTTCATTGCAGCAGCTACAGTTTGTTTGTCCCGATACACTTGTCCTTCTTCAATAGCAGTTTGCGTAGATTCTGTTATTATTTCACTTTGATATTCCTCTATAGCTGGAGATGATGGAATATCAAGTAACTTTATGGATCCAGATGAACCTACATCAAAATAAAGATAAACAGTGTACTTATAATTTTGTAAAATATTTGTAGAGAATTTGTAGATATAGTAAAATTTTTGTAGTCATCCATTTTTAGGATGTCATCCATTATAGTTAATTTCTACTATAACTATTGCAATTGTAGTTTTATTTGAAGACAACATTTTGAAATCAACAATTTCTAATCATAATTGTAGTTTATGTTATTTTATAAATGTACTAACTTTGTAGGTAATTTTCAAAACAACATTGCTTTATTATATCATTAAACAGATTTGTTGTTTAATTGTAGGTAGCTGTAGTAATTTTGAAGATAATACCGTAAAAACATAAATCTATGCAATTTACAACTATACGAACCTGCACTTGTGTTATCGTTGGTGATTGCCAATTCCATATTGAAATCTCGTACACTTATACATAACGGATATGAACCTAAATTTTTATTCTCCTTTTTGGTCTCCATATACACACGAACCCCCATATCATTCCTAATCTCCATTGGGGGACAATTGTCGTTCACCATGTATTTGATTTCAACAATTTTTTCTGAAGTATCAATCGATAGTTGTTCTGCAATTGTAGAAATCAGAATACTGTAGCTTGTATTCTCATCTACCACAATGGCATCAACTTTAAAATCTCTAAATCTGCCATAGTTATCCCAATTCCCATTCAATTGTAGCATGATTGCGATTTTGGACATGATTGTTGATGAATTATTCTAAATTTTTTCGTTTTTATGTATTTCTAGATTGAGAGAAAAAAAGATGAAGAACAGATTTATGATCGCCAATTTGTTTTCTGAAAACGAACGAACAACAGAATATACCAATGTTGAGTTGTTGAATCTCGAAGATTTGAATTCTACAATTTGAATTCAGTTTGTTGAAGCTGTTCGTAGTTTGTTGAAGCTGGTCGTATTTTTTTTTTTAAAAAAAAAATCAAATTGTATTCTAAGAGTAAATTACGCAGATGCGAAATCTCTTTTCCTTTTCAAAACTTGAAGTTAATGTAGAATCAATCTATCTCAAGATTCTTTCCTGATTTTTAGCACGTTTTTTATGAAATATTCTGCCCTAATTATTCATAATAGACGAATGGTACATGAATTTTAGGAAAAATGTGGACTAGGCGGGTAATTTAGATACTATGCACATATTTGGTAATAAAGTTTCATATATGGTATAGGAAGGAAAAAATCCCTATATATATTACGTGGGCCCATAAACAATTCTTCTGGACTTAACTGATATAACAATATTCAACTAGGTATAGCGTCTTAAGCTAAGATGCTACATCTCAAATAATTCACCCTCGGGACTGATTTTTGCCTTATTTAAGGACGATAAGGATTTTGTAAAAATCTATTCAGAAATATTCTCAAATCTTGTGAAATTTTTCTTCGTTAAGTTGTTTTTGCATGTTGTCATAATGTCTGAAGAGCGGAGAATTAAGGTTTCATTATATTAGGGGGGAGGGGGGGAGGTTGTGGTTGCGAATAACTCAGTAAGGTATAGTTATTCACCTATTTTTTTTACTATAATAAAATTAAATAATTAATTTTCGTAACTATACAAGATTTAATTATTAAATATTCATATTTTGGTTCCGGACACAATATTTAACGCCCAGTAGCACCAATGTATCCTGAATTCTTATCTTCACGATGAGAAAATATTTCTGATTTATCACTCAACGGGTCTATTATTTTATATGTTAGTTTATTATTGTATATGTTAGTTTTATTATTTAATATGTTAGTTTTATATTTATATGTTTGTTACTGACTTATTTTTTACTATACTAAAATTAAATAATTAATTCTCATAACTATACAAGATTTAATTACTAAATATTCACATTTTTGTTTCGGACACAATATTTGAGGCCCTGTAGCATCAATGTATCCTGAATTCTTATGTTCTTACGTTTGTTGACTATAATTGGATATAGTTTGTGTTTGAACTGTCACACCTCCTTTTTACGCACCCGCGGGAGTACAAGGGAGTTTTTTTCCAATTAAAGGACAATCGAAACGAGATTTGTTTATTTATTTCAGAGTCGCCACTTGGGAGATTTAGGGTGTCCCAAGTCACCAATTTTAATCCCGAATCGAGGAAAAGAATGACTCCATATTACAGTCTGCGCACCAGAGATCCAGATAAGGAATTCTGTTAACCCGGGAGAAGGTGTTAGGCATTCCCGAGTTCCGTGGTTCTAGCACGGTTGCTCAACTGTCATATTTGGCTTGATTATCTGATTTAATACATGTTGAACATATGTGCAAATTTTATCTTTTAAACCGCTTTTATCATTTACTGTTATTTTTATCAAGAATTGCAACATCGTGGAAACACATCTGGAATCACGTCACCATCAATGTACCCGTGGTTAGAGCTACATTTCAACTCTGTTGAGATTGGGGATTTGAGTCACATAAATGTGCAACCGAGTTTAGGAAGATAACATTATTAAAGACGTGCCTAAAGCAACTAGCGTATTGTTATTTTGGGGAAGGCCGTAAAATTCGCTAAACGGCCTGTCCCGAATTCTAAGTATTTTAATATATACATTTAGAGGGCCCCGCAGCTTGTGCATTTTTGTTTGTCGAGGCTCATCTCATTATTTTATTTATTATTATTTTTTTCTTTTCTCTTTTTCCTTTTAAAAAAAGGACAAGGCTAAAATAACTACATTTTTTGCTGCTTTGCGAGGTCTTGGGTTGTAAATTGAACTTATTTAATGGAAGGAGTATTTTTCCGCGGAATTAAAATTGCTACTATAATTTCAACATTACTACTACATGTATAAACGATTATTAAGACAAACTAAAATAATTAACACCTTTCAGAATGTGTACGAACACCTATTGTGACAAATATCAATAATCTAAACATGAAGAAACAAAATGCCGAACAACCACTTAAAGTAACGAAACAAAGGAAAAGACATTCACGACCACATTTCAATACCATACGGATTTAATTAACAGAAAATAGCAATTCACAAACATCATATGTATATGTCTCACTTGCATACTATCCGCATGAACTAGGACTGTATTTCAACAAACACATATACATATTAATAACATCAAATATGAAGGACATGGGCAGAGATGACCTACTTGAGATCAACGTCCGGTGCGTTGGACCTGCGACAAAACCTCGGACAACAACCTCGACGTACCGGACCTCGACAAACCAAAGACGACCTCAACGGACCTCACCCCGGACAGAACTTCTGGGCTATTTTTTGAACGTTTTCGGTTAAGCTTCAGCTGGTGTGTATGTGTGTTTTTTGGTCAGTCATGGCAAGGAGGGAGGTCGTTCATGGCTGGACGTTGCAGACAGTCGTTTGGACATGGGGGTGGCGACTGGATGGTTGCCTTGGTACGGTGTTACGGGTTCATTGCTGGGAATACGAGGGGTTGTGGGTTATGGAGGTCTGGAGACGGGGAGGGG